ATATATATATATATATATATATATATATATGTGTGTGTGTGTGTGTATGTGTGTGTGTGTGTGTTAATGATGTATTTTTCAAAAGCTCCATTGTATTTATCGCGACTTTAATGGCTCCACCAATTAATAATTTTGACTCACATTATTTGTTAATTAGGTCACTTAAGTTTAATATTATTATTTGTTACGTCATCAAATAATAATATATCGGGTGTCCACATTTAATAATTAACAATTTAAATTAAGTTTCTTAGCCAATATTTCTGTACAATAATTTGATCACTTAATTTGGCTAAACAACATAATGACCCAATGTATCAATTACACATATTTAATCTCAAAATAGATCTAATAATCTAGCACTAGATTAAATAGGTGTCCTAATAATAAATTAAATTATACCTTATGAGCTCAAAATATGGCCATTATTACAGAACTTTAACAATTTGGTCCATTAATCACAACAATAATATAGGACTAAAGCAATTTTTGTCATATAGACACAATTAACATATCAATAATCACATATTTCACCATGATTAAATGACATAAATCAAACCGTGGACCTTGTAGCATGAGAATAACATGAATGTGATCCTCACATGTCATTTCTCATTTCGTCCAAACTTAATGAGATCGCAAAGTACTAAAACAAAATGCACAAAGTATAATGAACTATTTTTTTTTTTCTTATTAGAATAAGTATTTTTTATATCATCGAATAAAAGTGGCAAGAATGTACCATATACTCCCATTAGAGTGAAGTTTCCTTAATATGTAACACACCTATATGAGCAGTATGCTCGTGAAATACCATTGGTGTTACATAATTAGTTTGGGGATCTGCTAACATAGATTTTTTCCTTAAGTGTTTGATGGAAATATGACCACTTTGTACCCTCTTCTTCACAACTATAAACTTAATGTCAATATGTTTTCATTTGGATGAGATCTTATTATTGTTGGAGTATAGAACGACTGATTTATTGTCAGAAAGTATCTTAATAGGTCTTTCAACCTCTGAAAATTCGCAGCCTTGTAACAAAGTTCCTTAACCAGATTTCCTGGTTTGATTCCTCACGTAGTGCCCACTTACTCTTAACTCTAGAAAATACTTCGATTTTCAGTAATAATTTGAAACTTTTCAAAATAATAAGCAACTACTCAAAACCTTTTCTTTCTAAACTTTTTAAAACTTTTCTTTCTTCTCTTTCTTTCTTCCTTTTCTTTCATTTCTTAACCCAAGTCTCACACTTGGTTTCTTAGGGAACTAACATTCCAAATTCTCATAAACTTTCTCAATCAGTTTAGGACAAGTAGAGCGCTAAAAAATATAATACTTAGTCTTAAATTGAAAACATAGTCTCCAAACAAACTCCATCAAGTTCACAAAGCATGATAATAAAAAGAGTTTGTAAATAGTTTTGCGGAATAACATAACGTAAACATACATGACCACAATACCACTCCCCTCCACGTGACCACGACCAGCTGCTCCACCTAAAAATGGTAAATTGTGTGTGTGTGTGTGTGGGGGGGGGGGGGGGGGGGNTATGCCACAAGTAACTGATCATGCAACCGTCTCATAGGCGCAACATATCATAATGCAGCCGTCTCATAGGCGCAACATAAAAGTTCATGAAACATACAACAATCATAATTATCACAGTAATTATAAAGAATAAAGCATATAGACTTCCCCACTTGATACTCGGAAATGAAGAAAGTTGATGCTTCAGTGGAAACTCCAGGGCTCGACTCCTCAGAATCTACATTATTGAAGCATAACTCGGATAAATACTTTACTCAACTTGGTAAACTTAATTTACCAATTCGAAGAATTTCTTTGTTTAATGTTCTTGATTTAGATTTTTTTTTTTTAAATATTGAAACTCTCGGCTAAAGGCATTTTAAAAGCTCGGAAAATGGTTTTTGAAGCTAAAATTTGAGGTCCGGCTTAAAAAATCAGATCAAGGCTCGAAAATATTTTCAAAAACTCAAAAGTGGTTCGGGACATTAAAAATTGCTCGGGCTCGGGCTGGTCCGGTGCGGCTAGGCGTTGGCGGGGCCTGATAGCGGCTGGCACTAGTTGTCTAGGCGCGGACGCTCCCCCTCGCAACGCGACCCGGCGCTGCCCAGTGCTGCTGCTGGACTCGAGCGCCTGCATGCAAATGGGTCTTGGCTGCTTAGGCTCTGGATGTGCACGCTGACACGAGGAAACATGTGCACTGGGCTGCTGGACGGTCATGGATCTGCTAGGATGCGAGTGGTTGGACGTTGGGAAGCTGCGGGTCGCCTGGGAGTTGCGGGGATAGCCTGTGCGCACATGGGTACTGGCAGCTGCGGCGTCGCTGTTTGTAGTATTTTTGGGCATGTGGTAACCGAGCTACCCGACAAAGGAAGGCTGTTCGGAGCTTCGTTCACTACCTAGTCGTCAAAGTCACACAACCGAAAACAAGGTCCTACACATTCTACTCACTTGATGGGATTTGATTGCACGAAATTGAACTACGAATCTAAGAGCAAAGGATGAAAAATGCAAACATAGAAAGAAAAATCGAAACTTTGGTCTACCGGATTCTCCACGACTCGAGAAAAAGAAAATAAACAAAGAGAAAACATGCTAGCATAGTGATCCTAGGTAATCTAACACGAGCTTTCTACACTAAATCATCACGCCTTAAGCAAAGTCGAGATCTCTATACAAGATAGGCATATATAGATTCCTAACACAGGAAAGCAAGCAACAAAAATAAAGCAAAAACCTAGAAACGAGCATACACACATTATTCGACAATCAAACTCGAAGTAGAAGGGCCTAAGCTAGGTACCTACTCTCCTATCGCATGCTTGAACGAAAATAGTGAATAAAGCTTGAAACTTGAATAAAAATAAACTGGCCGGAAAATTGAGTCATGGACCTCCCAACAAAGCATAAAAAGAAAAGAGACAGAAGAGAGAAAATAGAGAGTATTTCCCAACTTAAAAGTTGGGAAATGAGGGTGGTTTTCAAAATTACAAAGCACAATGTCTATTTATAGCTACACCTCAAACACACACTAAAAACATGCACATTTAGTATAACACTCTCGAGGTCTCTAAAATTTTCACAAGGTCGAGAGTGTGCAAGGTTGGCAAGGCACAGAACGGGACTCGCGACGTCGCGGGAAACTCGCGCGCGGGGCGCGCTATGAACAGAACTCGCGACGTCTACGTGAAATTCGCGCACGCGAGACGCGCTGGGAATGGACTCGCGAGCTCGCTGGCGGATTCGCAGGCGCGAAGGGAAGGAACTCGCGAGCTGGAGCCTGATTCTGGGTAGCACTCACGGGCGATGGGTGATTCGCGGGCGCGAGGGGAGAAAACTTGCGGGCATAAGAGGAATTCGCGGGCGCGAGTCTAAAAACTCGCGGGCAGGCAGACCTGGCACTGGAAATGGTCCCGGTGACCCCTTGAGACTCGATTCGCTCTAACTTTTCGCACGCTTCTCCGATTGACTCGAAACTTTGACCCACGCTCCTCAAACCTTTTTCTCCTCTTCTTGGAATGCTCAAATCATCTTAGGGTTGAAACATCACACCCGTAAATCGATATCACCGTGCAATTAATATATATGCTCGGTAATAGTTCGCGTGGCTCGGACATGATTCGGACGGCTCGAAAATGTCTCGGAAATGGCTCGTAATCCCAAACTCAACTATTGTGGACCTACACAACACCAAAAAGACAAGAAAAATACACCGAACCACAAAAACACAATACGAGAATAAAAATGCATGAAACACGATAAAATGGACCGGGCGACACTAAAACGAACATTAAAAATACTAACTAAAGCATATAAAACACACGAAAATAACCACAAAAACACAATAAATAGCCGCGCAGGCGTCTGGCGCGAGGTCTCGCAGCACGCCGCGTGTTGCATGCCTGCGCGCGACCAGTGCCTGGCAGTCTCCGTGTGCTGCCGCGACCCGACACGTGTGACGTCCGGTTCCGACGAGCCTCTAAACACACATGACAACTTTGCAACCAATTTTCAAAATGGTTTTTAAGGATTAAAAACCAAGTTTTGAAAATGAATTTTTGGCTCAAAACACAAACCACAAATGTCCAATCTTTCAAAGATAAAACCAAGGCATTTTGGAACCATTTTACAAACATTTTCCAAGGCAAAAACCACAACATTTTCAGAGGCTAATAGGGCTTACTTTTTTAACAAAAAGACATCAAAATGCATGGATCTAAGAAGAGACATTCAAATCGAATTTTTGGAAGATATTTTTAAAGGCATTTTCAAGGTATCCTTAACTCAATAACCACATCAAAATTCAGAGACTAAGGCTTAACTTGCATGGCATAAAGACATCGAATGAGAGTCCAATCAACATTTAAATTTTCACATCCACTTGACATTCTTCATAATTTCAATGGATCTAAAACAATTGAACCTTAAGCACATATATTCTTGAATTTCACATGAACAAAACAAGAAGAGGGTATTGAATCTAATACCTTCCTCTGGAATCTACAAGCTAAAGGTGAACAGAGTTCATATCTGATTGCTCGGACACACTCACTCTCGGCTACTTGGCTCGCGAGTTTGGCACTCGACGCACGGCTGCGGGTGCTCTCGGACACAAAAGATCGGTGGGCTCATTCTCTTGCTGTGTACTCGGTGGCTTTCTCAGCGAGTGGACGGGGCTGCTACTCGCGGTCTTCCTCGGCGATGGCTTCTTGCGCGCGGCTCCTCTCGACTGCAGGGGGGCTCGCGATTGGGGCTAGCGGCTGCTATGGATCGCCGACGAGAAAGGTGATCCACGAGGGATTTTTGGTGGACAAAAGAGGTGGTTTTAGGAGAGCTTTTTGGTGCTGTTGGTCTTGCTTCAGTGGATGAAAAATGATGTGGCCAAGACTTGGAGAGGGGGAAAATAATGAGGGAAGGAAGGGTGATTTTCTTGCCTTATGGAGAGGGGATAAGGGCAGGTGATTGGGGTCAAAGGGCCTAAAAATCTGTTGATTAAGAGCTGATTTGATCTAATAATATCTTACCAAAATTGGCTTCAAAAGGTATGGAATTTGAACTTAGTCTTAGAGTAAAAAATATGGGCAATGGGGGCAGATTTTTGGGTCGAAACACATTGTTCTTGCTTGCAATATTCAGCTTAGCAAAAAGGCTCGAATTTGGACTTGAACGGAACGACATTTGAATAGCAAAAGAAATGCCGAAATTTGAATAATTTAAGTAGACGAGAGGGTCTACAAAATTATTTAACTTAAAGGATTAATTAGACGAGATCATCTAAATAATCTCGAAGGACTTAGTCGAGTTTAGAAACTTAAATGAAATAAAAAGCACTATTTAAAATAAAACGAGATGTCTCTTATTAATCAAATGTAGCACTACAATCTAACCTTCTTAAAAGATTTCCGTCCTCGGAAATTACAAAAGCAAGTACAGAAACTACAAAGTATAGAGGACAACTCACTACATAAAATTCGGATATTTCGTCCGAATCTCAGTCTCGCTCATCGTCCTCGCCATGGCGGCTCCACTGGACTTTGACGCTCCGGTGGTAGAGCCAACCGATAGGCTAGGTCGACGACTTAGTCTAAAATCTCGAAAGGACCAATGAATCGAGGCTGAAACTTCTCTCCCTTCCCGAATTGAACCACACCCCTCATCGGTGTGATCTTGAGAAAGACCTTGTCGCCTACCTCGAACTGAAGATCCTTCCTCCTCTGACAATATAAATTTAATAATTTTTGGTATAATTTAATTTTTTTTTAATAGTTTTATTATAACAATACAAATTTATTTGCCTCTTTTGATACAAATATCTTTCTATGAATCATGTTGTTCACGGGCGCTATATTAACTGGAATAAATTAGTTATTTTATTTAATTTTGATTAAAAGGAATATATCTTAAATTGAATAAATAAATATTTCATACAAAATAAATATTAAAATTCAAAATAATTTATTTTACTTTATTATTAATTATTTTTTATATTAAGAATATAGACTTATTTCTTTTACAATTTTTGTTGCACAAATATTTTTTTTTCCAAACATCCGTAGTGCTGTTAAATTAAACGAGTCTGGCTCGGCTCGGCTCGATCTCGGCTCATTGAGACTCAAGTTCGGCTCGACTCATTTTATAAATGAGCCAAGCTCAAGCTCGAGTTCGCGCTCATTTAAAGCTAGTTTGCTTAACGAGTCGAGCTCGGGTTAGCTTGATAAAGCTCGAAAAAAGGATTTGTATATAACTTTCTATGGTTTGTCTCATTAAAACTCGAGATCGGCTCGTCAAGGCTCAAACTCGACTCATTATTAGTGATAAAGGGCCGTACTCAAGCTCGATTTCAGGCTCATTTATTTAACGAGTCGAGTTCGGCTCGACTAGTTTACAAGCCTAAACACTCGTATAGTTCACGGGCATTGTACTAGTTTATAACATTATACTCATCAAATCTTTTTTGTACTTTTTAACTTTAACTTCCATTTTTAATTTATCCTTTCCATTTAATCATCTCCTACCGCCACATCTGTACAATGTTAACTGTTAAGCCTGACGTTTTGAGGTGTTAACACGCCACTACTCCACCTGAAACGCTCAAGTGAGTCAACACTGCAATGTCCAGATACATTTTATCTCAGAGGTCCACACGGGTTGGGTTAAAACCTCAATCTAAAATCCAACTCATTTTGGGTTTTATTTTGGGCCACAAGTTTGCGAATAAATTAGCAACAAAAAGATTATATGTGTTGGGCTTAAATCCCAAGTCAACACCGGCCCAAACATCCAAGGCCATCCAAGTCCAGCCCACAGTCCAATTGCCAAGGACCACGCCCGCGCTCGAGCCGAGCCGAGCGGTGGACGGGCACGCGTGTGGCCGAAGCCATCACGAACGCATGGTGCATAGCTTTGTTGTTATTAATTATTGTGACATCTCCAACTCTCTTTATGATATAATAAAGAGAGTTAATCTTATTTAAGAGTCTTATGTTGGATAGGACTTTTGACTCATCGAATCCCACAACCAGCGTTTTACGTGCCCATTAAAGACTAACTTAATAATTTATTCCTCACTCACTGAAAATTATTTTTGAGAAAATAAGTATATCTCTAGCATCTATTTGGAACATACAATTTTTGTACATAATTTAATTCAACCCGACTTGAATTTTAGCTACCAAAAGTAAAAATTGAGTCAAACTCAAGATTTTCATAATTGATTTTCCAATAATGAGATGAAATGAGATGAAAGTTTTTTACAAATGGCGGAAACCCCAAATTCTTATATTAAAAGAAAATCCATGTGTTTTTTACTATAAAATTCATGATATATCAAAATTTAAATTTGAATACAAAATGTTATTCATCTCCATAAAAATAATTCAAATTAAACACAAGATAATATTTACATATTCAAGGCATGAAATGATGTATAATATCTAACTTAGATGCATGAGATAATATTTTGCATTAATATGATAAAAATTTAAACGTTCTTCAAGAACAATATAAAATATTTTAAACAGTGTTTTAATATTTTAGATTGGCATGTTACATGTGCTTTTACACAAATTAATCTTATGTAGTTTCAAATGAATCATGATAAGCATTCCAAAATTAATGTGCAATATATGTGCTTTTACACTAATTAATCTTATGTAATTTCAAACGAATCATGATAAGCATTCCAACAAGTTAATGTGAAATGCATTAAATTACATGTTACTTCCATACTTTTAAGTTATAAATATTATTTAGTATTGTTTACTTGTGCATCACATGAGATACTGAAACGTGGGTATTTAACGTAGAGTGCGCTCAACTGTGTTAGAACACGGAATTGCTGTATATTTTCAAATTTTGTTTCAACACCAGAAAAAAATAATTGGGGAAGCACAAAACAAGAGATAAAAATTCTTCAGCGAGAGTCCCACTACTCCTCAGAGATGTTTCATTGATAAATGATTGTGCACAGTTGTATATATAGTTTGGACTTATACAACTAAAACTCCCTTCTAGCCTAGCCAATACTATACTCGATCCTACCTACTACTTCTCTAGTCACAACACGTGGACTTTACATACTCGAATCTCTCGAGCAAACCAACACTTAACCCTAAGTACTATGACAAATATCTGAAAGAGAAATATAAAAAACCAAAGAAAAACGAACTCAGTTCATCGATGGCGCAAGAACACCAACTAACTGAATATCAAAAGAAAATCTAAGAACAAAAAATTGTTGAACTCTCTATTGAATGCTTGAATATTGTTATTTGAATGATAATTTTCTCAGCAGCCATCAATTGATCTTCAAGATGGGTATATGTAGCTACTCTTTTTCCTTCAAGGATGATTTCCTTCCTAAGCTTCCGGTTCAAACATGATAACAAAACATTCTTCCTCTATCTTCTTCCTTCTTGTTTCCAAATGTGTCGACTTGCCTCTCCATGCATACGTATAATCCCTATAAAATATAATCAGAAATAAGATCACACAATATCTATTCAATATGCATAATATATATGAGAATGGATACATATGTACAAATATAAATAATGAATATCTTCCTTTTTTATTTCCTTTTGCTTGCAAAAATATATCTTCAATATATTATTTGTTAACTTATTGCCAATAATAAACCTTTTAGATACGTACTAGTATATAAAAAAATATTTGTATTTATTTAAAATAATACAATTTTTCCGCGAAAAAAATTAATACTTACTAAATAAGGAAAAAAATTAAGGGCCACTTCTTTAAAAATCCCTAATCTTTTAATGAAGTTCCATGTCAGTCCCCACCTATATTTTTTCTCTATTTCACTACCTACCCTCATATAACTCTTCCACTTAACTCCCTCTTCTTAAAATAAATCAAAAATAAATTAACTTATGACATCACCCCACTACAACTTACCATTCTACATTATTTTTATTAGTTTTTCTTATACCTTTTTTTATTTTTCTTACCATAAACAATATTATATTTTTTTCCCAATCACCTTCCCCACTAAAAAATCCTCCTCCCGCCTCCCTCCCTCCCGCCACCTTGTCCGGCAAGTCCCTGTCTTTACTTTACGTTCGTCCTCCAGCGACATAAAATCCGACGATAAGAACTCCAGCGGCAACAAATCCGGTAAAAGAAGTCATCCGGGCGTGAATTTCCTTCGGCGAAAATTGATATTTTTCCGGCAATATTTGTCCTTTTTCCGGCTAAAATTTGAAGTAGTAAATAATCTATGTATTATATGAGGATTTTGGAGTCTAAAATCATCTTTAATTCATATATTTATGGTTAATTTGTCAAGGATTGAATTGTGAATATTGTTCTTCATATTTACACCAAATTAAATAAATTGATCTTAATCTCTTTTTTCTTGTTCATGTATACGAAATTGATGCTATTTAATATAATTTATTAAGTCAATAAGTACTATTTAATGTTTAAGCCAAGGAGGTTTAGTAGGACTTTATAAATCTCGAGCCAAAGGGATAAGAATTAAATTTGCACATAAATAAACGCGATTGCCTAGCGGCAGGACGGTAGAGGAGGCGTCCTAGCAGCAAGACGGTAGAGGAGGCGGCATTGAGGATGTGGACTCGCCCAGACCCGGGTTTGAGTCCCCCTTTGCGCAATCCTTCCACCATTTTTATTTTGGCACTCATACTAAAATATAATTAGTACCCCTTTTATCCAAAAGAGTACCGCATATATTAATACCTACTTTTTATTACTATAAGTGCAAAAAATAAATGGTGGAAGGATCGCACAGATGGGGACTCGAATCCAAGTCTGGGCGAGTCCAGACCCTCAAGACCGCCCCCTCTACCATTCTACCGCTAGGCGATAATATTTATTTATGCGCAAATTTA